AAAAAATGAATAGGCTCATAGCGTATGGAACTCGGGCCTATCTATACTTATAAAAAGAATGATTTGTATTTATGTATGTATTGAAATAACTTAAAAACTGCTGGGCCTACGTTATCAGTGACAAGCATAGGCTATATTTTTTTTATTTCACGCGGGCAAAGTCGCGAGTAACAACTAGTAAAATATAAAACCGGCACTTGTCAAACCTATGACACAATAAAATAATATAATTTCTTTACAGCAATTGGGAACTGATGTACTCGGCTTCCAAACCTTACTGGATTACCAAATAAACGAATACATCGACCCTAACGGAGACAGAATCTTCGGGAAAGCGCCTGATGATATGAGAGCTATCGTCTGCTGGAAACCTATTGAATAGTGTTGCTATTTAAAAATGTAGGTATCTTTACTCTATGGTATTAGTATTGTTAAGACATAGACTAATGCACTTCCTAGTAGAATAGACACATCCAAAGTAATAGCAGTGTTATGAGAATTTATATTAAGTTTTTTTTAACTCATTCCAACTTGATTTCTGGCCAGTGTTACAAAAAGAGTTAAATTGATGTTAATTACAAGGCCTAAATATGTAAAATTATACATTTACTTAGGTAATTTAAATTACTTTTAAATGATGCAAGATATATTTGTAATTTATCTGTTATTAATTTTCAAGTAAATGATTATGTTTGCCTATTTCTGTAAATAGCAACATTGTATTGTAGCATTAATGAAATATTGCTATGAAAATTTGAAAGTGGATTAAAACATTTTTATGAAAAGTGGTACTATAGATTTGATCTAGAACATTCCAAAAGGCTCGTTTAGGCTTTATTGGCGCTAAGCTATTAGTTGTAAATATAATAGTAGTAAAAGTAAATAAGATATATCTAATTCTAAATATTGGCCAATTTACAGTACATAAACTGTAAAAAAATGATTTTTCAAATGATTATTTAAACACCACACTTAAACATTCAATTACGGAAATTTAAAAAACTTGCCTAATTATTAGTTAAATGCCTTAGTGTTATATAATATGATAATAGTACAACATTGTAATTTATAATTATAATTGTTAGAACACAATTATTGCCTACTTAATGTGAAAATCGTAGTAACATACCAAGGGCGTTGCCAAGTGGGCAAGGCAGGCAGCGTCCCTCTCCTAGAGTGAAAAATGTAAAATAAGAATAAAATGGTAACTACGTCTAGACCTAGCCTTTATCATTGGCTGGTGACGCCCTTATTTTTATCCTAATTTGTTAATAAATTGCAAATTATATATAGCAAGTTTGTGAAGATATTAGAATTCTTTTTAAAACAAAAACAATCCAGTTATAAACACTGTGGTACAAGCACAGATTATATAATAGTAACAAAATTAGATTTGACAGTTCTTAGATTATTCTATTATTAGTAAGATCTCTACTTCATGTTTATTGTGATAAATTAATATTTAAGGTTATTTTAATTGTTACGAATTATTCTGTAGTTACTATTTTAAAATAAAATTGTAAAAAAAAGAAAGTATCGTTTTCTTTTTAAAATATCGTTAAGATAATTACCACAAGGTAGTTCCACTTCTATATTTTCCATTTTCATCAATTTTTCCCTCCTTTTTAACCTTAACTTGACTGCCCGTGTTAACAATGACCTTGGGTACGTCCTTCGATGACGCCAATCTCATGGCGTCAATCTATACAAGATGCAAATTTTAGTTATCTGTGGATTGAATAAGATTAAACCGCCTAATTATAACACTAGAAATAGTGTTATTAAATATTTTATTATTTATTTATTATTTTATATCGCAAATTAACAATGTAAATAATAACATGAATAAAGAAAAATAATGAACGTAGAGAAAAAGTAAACAATATTAAAAACACTTAAAAATCTTAGAAATATGACAATTTTACATTACCTTATACCTTTGGTATCTACTTCGACTCGACATTTATTTGGTCTCACCATATCTCAGATGTAGACCTTTGTAGTGAAGAATTTAAATAAAAAAAATTTTTCAATTTTTATTTCATTTAATACTGAGTGCAAACATCAGCTACAAATAATTGTTATTTTCGACATTAAAAGCGTTAATTTAGTATTAATGAAAACAAACATACATAAACATACATATTATAAAGACTAGTATTTTTGACTAGAAAATGCTTTCATTTCTATTGTAAAATAATAGAGATGTTGTAACTAGACGTGTGTAAATCAGCTCTGAATTGATTCAAAAGAGCAACTTAGAACAAATGAGTGGCTCAACAATCAATTAGCCGTTCATGGCTCAATACGTTACTATAACTGTGGGAGCTATTGAGCGGTGATCCGGTGATTCGCTTACGCCTCTATGTAGGTAATTGAGCCGATCTGTGAGCCGGTTCACTGATCGGCTCAATTTGCTCATTGACGGTCATCAATTAATTAGTGTTAAACATAACTACATGTAACTTGTGTGCAGAAACTTTGCATATGGTCTTATGACGTCACGTGTCTCACATTACTAAGTGAAGAGCACGGTAATGTTATATTTTATATTTGAATATAATAGAAATAACTAGGTTTCGCCCGCGACTCCGTCTGCTAGAATTAAAAAAGTAAATTATGTAGCCTATCCGTTCTGCTGACCAAAAGAACGGATACACTTATCCTCTACATGTATGCCAAATTTCATCGAGATTCGTTCAGTTAAGGCAGGCTATAAAGTCTAACAAACATTTAACTACGAAAGAAGACTAGATATAATAACAATTTATATTTATAAAGATAAAATATGCTAACATATACAACAGTTTCTATTTTTATCTAAATATAGATTATTAATTTTTCATAAAATAACAGATTCTATTAAAACAAATAATTTATCTATGCATAGTATGAGTTTTAATACTCACCATATGACTTCAATCTATTTCTACAAATACATTTTTTTCTACTACTACGAAGATATTAACAAATTTCATATTACCTATAGGGGTCCATTTTATCTAAAAAGCAATACTCTCTTTTAACACTCTTAGGAAAGAGTTGATTGATTCACTATTTCGTTCATTCATTCACTTAGTCATAATTAGTTTAGCTACAGAATTACAATAAACACACATTAGTAGAAGTCATAAAATAGACTTAAACCGCCTAAAAACAATATATTTCAGCATTTCCTAACACATCTGCTTTAACACTTTCCATACTACTAGGATTTCGCAAATGACCTCCATTATCGAGTTCCTCATCGGAAGTGTTAACAGAACCACGTCTTAACCGGATGTCGCGTACCATCCGTGGACAGGCTCTGTCAAATACCACCGATACCTGTCACCCCGTACTTCGCCAGTTCCGGTACATTTATATCATCCAGATCCGGTTTGATCGAGTTGTAACCGGTTATATCCGGTTTCGATTGTATGAAATCCGGTTTAACGAGTACGTAGTCCTCGGTGCCATCGTTGAGGTCTATTATTGGGTCTTTAGGTGTATCGTAGTTGGTTATGTTTGCCTCGTTCAGTAGTTTTAGTGATTCTTCTAATGCTAGTGTACGATTGTGGTCTGGGCTGTGGCCGCTAGTTGAAGGTGTTGTGGTGTTGCCAGATCTGCGGTGGTGGAGGGAGTTAGTGGTGGAGCCGATGTAGGGCGGTGGCTGTGGCCGGTTGTAGTTTCCAGCGAGATTGGTGCTCGATTTTGGACTGTACGGTCTAACGAGACTGTTGTTGGGACTGGAATAAGTTAGAAAAACACCAATATTCATTATTATTATTAAAACATCTAGCTACACTTTATAATTAACTAGCTGTTTCGCGAATTCGTCCAAGTGAAATAAAAAAATATATAGCCTATGTTACTCACAGATAAATTGCCTTCCGTATGGGGAAAGAATTTTTAAAAAATAATGATTTGTTTCTGAAAACTTTTATAGCATAATAATATCCCTAAAAATGTAAATAATATTTTTACCTAACTCCCAAACTTTTGTTGCTGTTGTTATCCGCTTGCGTCTGTTCAGTGTTGCCAGTGCCATATCTGCAAAGTTCCACTCTCCCTGATTTGTGTGCTCTGAAACATTGAATAATATTATAAACTAGCTAATTCTGGTGACTTCGTCCACGTGAATTTAAAAAAATAAAAGACCCATTTTACTCGGTGATAACATAACTTATAACGGCGTTAGAATGTTTGCAAACGACTCAGTAGTTTTTAAGTTATTTTAACTCATACAGAAATTAAAAAATACATTATTATTTTATAACACTTTATAACATCAAGTATAAAAGAGATTTATATGAAATGTTTACGAATGGGTTTATTTGTTTATTAATTAATTTAATGAGGAAAGAAATCTTAGTAATTATTAAATAATTTAATAAAAACAAGAAAGTTTATGGATGGACAAACACAAAGCACACACAGTTTTTTATACACATATTAGCTTGCAAGTGGATGAATGTTACTAGGTATCTCTAGAACATTAGTTCTTGTTATATTTTTTTAATATCGTGCGAAAGGAATCGCGGATTAAAGCTAGCGAAAGAAATATTTTCAAAAACATATCGCAATATAAATACAGTCAAAACAAAACCATTATTAGAGTTAAATTAATTGTTATTAATTTACTTTGTGATTAGTTATTTTAGTCCAATTCAAAATGTTTTTTTTTCTAACCTCTTTTTTCTATAATCAATACAAATATGATAGATATTTTCGAGAAAGTATTCAGATTCTGGATCCGTTCTGAAATAATTGTAAAAATCGTTTAACTATAATAGTACTCAACACTCACAGTGCAGTATATCAAACATTCAAATTTAAGTATCGGAATTTCTACGGAAGACCTAATTATGGTGGACATTATCAAGTGCAACTGGAGAGTACAAGAAAGGCTTACATGGCGGCATATTTGAAGCA